CGCGTTTTCAACCCGACGTCGACAAAGTCGTCCGGGCGACCCCGGATGACAAAACGGACCACGTCGGTGCGTCCAGAACGTTGACTTTAGCTATGAGAGACTCTCGCTTCAGTATGGTTTTGTGCACGAGCGAGGGGTGTGCAAATCGAGGAAATTTAAATACCATATTAATTTTGGGGGATATATCTGCATTATATAGTCAACTGGGTGATTTTATTTTCCCCTAAAGATCCCTAACTTGTGGCGGCCCTTGGTTCCGTCCCAAATTGGAGCCATGACTCCTCTCATGAAGCTCGTTGTCCCCTTCATTGCGCCTAAACCCGAATCGAACCCTAGTCGTGCCTTCCCTCTCGTTGGTCCCTCCTCTTCGCGTCACAAGGAGTTGACCTCGTCTCTCTCGACATCCTCTGCCCGAGTTGCGGCTTCCCGAAGGATCTTTTGCTTCGTTTCGCTGAGCAGGAACCCATTTGCAGTAGGTTGACTCTGTGCGTTTGTTCCCTGAGTCACGAATGTGGCAATCTCCCCCCTTCCCGATAGTTCCTCCCTTTGTAGCCTTGGCTGCGGTGCAGTCTTCTTTTTGTTGGGGGTGGCTTCGCCCAGGTAAGTCTCGTGAGCTTTTCTTTCCTTCTTCCACGCCTATAAAATCCCATGGGGGGTATTGTTGTGAGGTTACAAACCGAGGATTTGGAGGAGATTCTGTCGGAATCGCCTCTGGTGCTTGCGAGCCTGGTGTTTGGAAAGCTTTTTGATTCTCTTCTTTTATTTGCAAAGGCTCAAGTGAGGTGCCCGTTTTCCCCTTCCCCTGCTTTCTTTCTTTGTTCGACGGAGGTTGCCCTTAGGTTTCTCTTCTCTATAAGAAAAAAGGGGGGAATGCATGCGTGGGGTGTTTTAGTTTGTCTCTGCTGGTATTCAATGTTGGGATCATCGTTGGTTGTAGGATTTTTACTTGTCTTTGTTGGAATTTAATGCTGGAATCATGGCTAACTGTTGGATTTTAGCTGCCTTTAGTTTAAATGCATATTGTTGGGCCTATTTTAAATGTTCTATGATGATTAGCTAAGAATGTAGGCTTATGAGAAATGCATGGTTTAACTCGTATGCAGGTGCAAGCTTCCTCATGTTCTTATCATATTTGTACATGTATGTGGAAGTTTGAGGGTTGTTTTAGCCTTGTAGGTTGTGTTTTCTTTTTTTTCTTGTCGAACTGATTTAATGTGTTACGTTGGAGGGCCTAGGCTTGCTCCCTGTTATTTCATTCCCTATTCGAATCACAGGCTGGATGGATATTTTGTTCTTTTTGAGGCTTTGAAGAACCTACTTTGGGGGCTTAGCTTCGTTCTTTTTTTTGTTGTTGTCCCTCTGTTCGAAACACCTGTTGAATGAAAAATTGGGGGGGCTTTTGGAGTTTGTTTTAGGGGTTCGGTTTTTCCCCTCTGTGGTTGTCTTCTCTATTCGAAATTCTTGTGCAGCTAGCATTTGGTTTTCAAGGCTTTTGGAGTTTGTTTAAGGGGATTTAGCTTTGTTCCTTGTTGCCCCTCTATTCGAATCATATGTTGAATGAAATATTGCCTTTTTGAGGTTTTGAAAAGGTTTATTTTAGGGGATTTAGCTCTGTTCTTTGCTGCTCCCTTTGTTCGAAACACCTGCAGTTGGTGACGTTGGATTTTGGGGCTCTTAGAAGCCTTGTTTTGGGGGCTGGTGGCTTCCCCTTTGCTGCACCTGGCCGAGAACACCTGTTTGCGGCTCCCTTTATGTTGGGGTTGACGGCACCCTGCTGCCCTTTAACCGTGAGCACCTGATTTGGTGGTTTTGGTTTGCTGCCTTAACAGAGAGCATCCCTGCGGTTCTCTTTTATTTTGTTTGGTTGTTCCCTGCTTACCCCTGGCTATGAGCATTTGGTTTGGTTGTTTTAAGATGGCTTTCTCTGCCCAAGAGCATCAGAGTGGTTCTTTTTTTCTTTGTGGGTGGCTTCCCCGTCGCCCCCTTTATCGTGGGCATCTAGCCTGGTTGCTTGTCCTGCTGTCCCTGGCTGTGAACATCTGTTGTGGATGTGGTGGCTCCCCTGCTGCCCCCTAGCCGTGAGCATCTATTTGGTTGTTCCCTCATGCTATTCCTACCCGAGAACATCCATTCGGTTTTCCCTTTGCGTTGGGGTTGGTGGCTCCCCTGCTGCCCCTGATCGTGAGGGCTTGTTTGGCTTTCCTTTGTATTGTGTTGAGTTTATACCTCATGGAAGCTTAAGTTTGAGGAGGAATTGAGGGCTTAAAATATTTTAATCCTTATGCTTGGAAGAATTTTGGATGTCCCTGTTCGAGGAACGATCTATTAAATGTTGGGAGAGAATTCAGAGCCTAATCCTCTGGGCCAGGTTTATTGCAACAAAAAAAGGGAAAATCCTTTTGGTAGTTGGAGAAAGTTCAGTTGTGGCTTGGAGCAATTTTGATTGTGCTTTCCGAGGATGTTTCTAGCTAGCGTTGGTGGGTGTGCCCCATTTCATTGCTCATTCGAGGAGTAATGCCGTTTGAATATTTTAAGCTAACCCTCCTACCGCTTTGAGCTTTTCTTTCTAAATATATTTTGTAGGAGGGTGAGCCCCTTATTTTTTTGCTTTTCTTGCTTTTCGATTCACTTTCCTTGTTTCTTGGTTTGGGTTTTAGACACTTATGATCGAAACATAAGTGTGCATGTATAGTCGCGACTATATGTCCATCAAGCAAAGACGTAAGTTGGACGGTCTTTTTTGGGTATTAGGCCTTGATGATAAAGGCATTCGGTGATAGAGCGGAATAATATTTCATCCTACAATATCGAGACTCAATCCAGGGACACATTGAAATGTAGGATGACAATATTATTCACCGACACCAGGCTATTAGGGCACCCTTGCTCTCTTGGTGGTCCTAGCCTGACGGTGCGATCGTTTCATGGACAATCATATTTTATAAAAAATGATAAGAACATATACGAAAAGAACAGATACGTCATTTACAAAAATATTTTGACTAAAAAGATAGATATTACTTTCTCTTATACGCATGGAACCTATATACATGCCAAAATATAAATTTTAAGTAATATAATTTGATTGTCCACTTGTCAATTGTCGGTACCGAGCTAAAGAGTACCCTCCTGAGTTGGTATAGTAGGGCACCTTTCTAGTTGAATGTCGGACTCTATACATACGGGTGACCGATAGTTGCCTTCAGAATCCCTCAAAAAATACCTAAATCTGAGTCTAGTCCAACCCGAATGCTTACGGCTTTCTTTCTTTCCTCGGATGTTTGTGCGTTTTCCAACGGTTTTATCGAAATCTTTGTAGAGCACTCATGATTTTCTCCGGATTTTCCTCGTATTTTCGGCAGTTTTTTTCGAGTTACCGTGGGTCATCTGCCACTTTTTTTATCGAGTCTTTTCAGGTGTCGCCGACCCGTCAGGTATATATGTTTGTTTTACATTTACAACGTTTACTTTTGTTATTACACACTTTACTGCATATACACACAGGTCATACCTGCAATACTACTGTTTACTATTTACTGCGTTTCGTAGCATGTTCCCTTTTATAATTCATGATGGTTTTATAGACTTGCAGGGGACTTTTAGGTTAGAGGACAGTAAGAAACCTGATTTAGAAAGTACCCCATAGCGAGTCACCAACCTAATAACTGATTATTTATACATACCACAACCCAAAACTTATCTTTCCAAGAAGCGGAGAGTGGAAGCAAGCGGATGGGGAGCGGAGATCGAGACCACGACAGCGAGGTGTAGGATATCTCTTTAGAGTTAAGATCCAATCGTAGGATAGTTGGGAAGTCACCAAGGTTCCCCCGGATCTGTGAGATCCCCTACCTTTCACTTCATTGACTCATGAAAATAACTCTTCCTCTTTTAAATCATTCCCCTTTGATTTCCTCTTATTTAACCTTGAAAACTTAAAATTTGCAGTCTTGCAGGCAAAACCATTGATCTTAATCGAGAGTCTTTTTAAATGATTTCGGTCATTTAAAATATAATTATCTATAGAGGTCTACCTCTATAAGGAACTTGAGAACCCAACTTAATATAAATCCTATTTAATCTCCCGTAATAAATAGGGGAACTTGTCAACTTATAAAAGGTTTTCGCAGATCAAACGAATGTCACAAATCTTTTAGCTTAGGTAGTTAAGTCTACCAACAAGTTGTATGCATATCCTTCGAGATAGTGTCCTACTTGTGGTATCGCGCTCAGTCATCTAAACTATCAAATATGTGAGGTCCATGCGATCTCACTTTTCAAAATTAAAATATTATTTTCTAAATTATAATCACATATACATATATATCTATTAAATTAAATTCAAACGACCCTCAAGAAACAGCCGACAGTTAGTTCTAAGAATCTGAGTCGATATAATGATAAGAGAAATATTAAATGAGATTGATCATATATGGTAAATGTGGCGTTTATTTAAAAAACTTTAAACTTTTTTTAGTTATAAATATCCCTCGGCTCTTTGAGACCTTCTAAGCTATTCATTTTCCCTTGTTTGCAACTAGCAATTGAAGGGTGTTTTCACATTATTTAGTTGGAAATTTTCACAAATTTTAGTTTATCAGAACATCAAACCAGCTTTAAAAGTATATTTTAAACACAATCAAATTACCATATTTCAGGCTGCAAGGAAAATAGCATTTATGTCCTATGCCCCAAAATAAGTAACACTCTTGTGCAATGAGTAGCACCTATTGCTTCAGCCATCCTGATTATTTGATGCTAATCAAATCCAATATTACAAAAAGAAAAAGCTTATGGATACACGAAATCATAATTTTAAGCTATGCCATCATCTTTGGTTTAGTTAAATCAGTTTTTTTTTAAAAGTTGAGGGCCAAATCACAAATTTGCGTGCACATACTTTCATTGAGCATCAAATCTTAAAGAAATACCAAGGCCCTAAACAAAAAAAACAAGACTGATGAGAGTTCAATAAGCCATCAAAAGAGTAAAAGCATTACCCTGGAACCACCGGATATCTTGCATTTCCCCAATCATTCTTAATGATATGAAGGTCAGTATGGCATATCCCACAATACAATATCTTTAAGGTAACATCCTCCTCTCCATTTTCCCTGCATAACAATCAAATTAAGTCAGCCATTATTCAGCAAACACACGAGTATATAATAACTAGAAGGTTTCCCCTTTGGGCGGCAACCAGAAAAGGAGGAAGAAGTGGCAAAACAGGGAAAACAGAAAAAATTATCGTTACTTTCCAACAGGCCAGTTCAGCCTCCTGCTGGACTGAAATACTCCAGGGCCGAACCAATCAGCCAGTTCAGCCATTCCCCCACACCCTATTGATCGGTTCTACCCATTCCCCGAGCCCCACATCAGTGTGAACCCGTGCAAAGTCAAGTTAGTGCCTGATAATTCCAATTTTTGGAAACTATTTGAGATTAGAAGCTTTACAATTAGGAATATCAAAAGAATTTGTGTAATAGTAATGATCATTTTCATGCACTTGCCCGTATTGAATACAATAAATTTTATTTCTGTAAGTCATGCCTTGTATGAAACTAACAATTTCCATATCAAGCATACAATACCTATTAAAAACTTGCTCATTAAATATATAAAAATTGTATACTTACATGAAGTAATGTGCATGTCAGAATAAAACCACTTTGATGATGGTTAGTCGGATTAAAAGATCCTCGAAGAAATTATTAGAGTTGCTCGAGATTGGGGCCTACCATTTATAATGTCAATTTGTCATAATAAACTACACATACAGTTTATCAAACAGATAATCATGAGCATAATGATGCCGTGATTTTTGTTTAAACATATGAGACTCTTTTATTATTACACCAACATTTTAAGCCTGTTGCTATAATGTCCTTTATTACTTATTATAACATAATAAATCATATATTCTATTATTCATGATGCCTGCCTCATTGTATTGTCATTTTTTTTAATAATTAACATTTATTTGCTGATTTTAGATCATCAACCTCATTTATTATAGATTTGATTATGTTGTTATTTCTTCCAGTCAATTTTCTCTTTATTATTGTTTTGTTACTTTGATGTACCCTTGTTAAGGATTCTACTGATGAAATGAAATATTATCTACCTTCAATTGCTTAATTTTATTGTTATCATTTATTATTGTAAAGAAACTTTCTTTTGTGAGTTAAAAATAGATTTTAATCAACCTTGGCTCTTGAAACTTTTTTCAAAAGTTAAGATCAATCCCTTCATCCTTTTTTAAACCGCCAGCACCTACCACCTTCCAAACATGGAGTGATAAAATAAATATCACAAGAACTGTGTCTAAGTTGCATTACAAGCCCTACAAATTAAAGACTAAAGCCGAGTGGAAGCTAAGAACTTATAATCATACTCTCACGAAGTTTATTAACACACGCGCTATAAAATAATCTCATCATCATCTCTCCATGTACCAATGTGCCACCGAATAAAAGAAGCTTCGAACTATTAAAACTGCAATCTAACAACAAACACCACACCATTATACCAGGTTTCATCTCCATATTGATTTCAAGCAATCAAATACTCCACAAAAATAAACAACAATGAACAAATAAATAGTTGAAAAAAAACCAAAAAAAAAAAAAAAAAACAGCGCGATAAAGTTGCTTCCATTGTTGAATCTAATAGATGTTTACCAACAAGTAGCATTTCACTTAAGTAAGATTTAGTAAATTCTATAAATCTGAATTTTTTAAATTCTATGTAGATTTAGTCCTGAAGATTCTTTCGAATAACAGTAGCTAATCCAATTATATTCAGAAAGATTGTTTGGCTAATTGTTTCAAGATTTAAGGATTCATATGAATGTGCATCACATTATACTCACTTTACTTATAATAACCTTAGTTAAACTAATTTAATCATATATAATATAATTAAATACCTTAACTAATAATTAATTAGTAATATATTAAGCTAATTACATTTTCTTATCTTTTAATTTTTAACAAATTAAATCAAAAAGAAAAATAATATCATTTAATATAATAATTTTTTTATTAGCTAGTAAGATTAAATTAATAGTTTTATCAACACGCATACATTATCTATTTGGATATTAATAACTTTAAATAATAAAAAAATTATCAATTTTATTTTTGTTAATTAAAGTATAATTATTTGAAATTAATATCTTATAATTAATACACTAAGTAATATTTTATAAATTAATTAAATTTAATAATTTTAAGTGATCAAATTAAATCACAAATAAATTTATTTTAATTAAATTAAGAGCTTCTTAATTGATAAAGATTAATCAACAAGATTAATTTAATTTAAATTTAATATTTTTTATTTAAATATTTTAATTAATTTATTATGAATAACAAGAAACCCTCATCTTTAACCCCCAATGCTCGTGCCCTATACCTAAAACCCTCGCCAAGAAGGAAGCCAAAAACTCACAACAGGTGCACATAGACAACAACAATAGCAAATGAGAAGGCGCATCAGCAAGAGCAACAACATGAAAAGAAGAATAGGGGTTTGTAAGACTAATAAGTTTATTAAATCCTAAAAATGCTAGGATTTACATAATTCAGGATTTGAGCCAAAATAGACAAGAAACAAGATTTAGAGGTTGTTTAGCTGCACATTAGAGTACAAGCAGAATTTAATGAATCCTTTAAAATTACATTTATCAATTCCTAAGAAAATTAAAATATGACAAATATTTCGCAAGACAAGAGCAAAATTCAATTAAATCTTTATGAACTATTTGACTACACATTTCAAGTTTAAGTAGGTTGGATCAAATAAAATTTTGATAATAAATATTGATGATGAAATTAAAACACGTTAATTGGTAAGTTATTAAACTAATGTAATACAAAATATTGCTAAAATTACTAAATTTAATAACTTTACTATAATCAAGTTTAATTACAAATACTATTTGTTAAATCCAAAAATGTCCTTCGTGACACACCCAATGAATAAAACATTGGTCGGATGAATAGAATAAGAGAATAAATGAGAAAAAATAAGTCACAAATAACATTGATTCTCTGGAAATAGATCCAGTAGTCCTTTTCTATAAGAACGAACCTCCTATTTTTAAGTCATAAGAAGAAGTCCGATAAATTACATTATTGTTCCTCGTTCAATAAAAACGTTATAATTATTTATGAGTCATTATATTTTTACATATTTATAACCAAGTTTGGCATATTTTGACCATGCAACCGCTGATGGCGTCGTTTCGTATCTATAACTACTCTAGGCATCGTTTCGTATTTATACCTATCAGATCTAGTCATGTGGTATTCATTTGATCGACCAATAAATAATTCACCCGACTGAACTATTTTCGACCTCCTTCTGAGGGGATCCAATAGTAAAAACTCATTTTCCTTTAAAAGTATTATTCTATCAGACACAAGGCACATTAGCGTAACTTGACAAGCAGCCTACCTTTGGTCGATGAATATATATAGAATGGATCCCCATCAGGCGATTGTTACTCTTGTGAATGTCCATTAAGTCGTTTGGTGCGTGATGTTTTTTGGTTCGATTGGACTAATGCTCAATCAGCCGAGAATTCACTTCTCTCTTTGTGTGATTCGTTGGATCTCCTTAAGATTCATGCAGCCGCATTTTTATGTACACTACTAATTAAATATTTATTTTTTTTCTAAAATAGCATCAAATTAATTATTAATTAATAATTTATAAATTAAGTAAACATAACTTTTTTCTTAGTAAAATTCAATTAGAAATAATAGAAATCTATATAAGTTACCATTTTTTTAATAAATATTAATTAATAGAATTAATTAAAGATTAATTAACATCTCTCTTTCAGTTAATACATATTAATATTCATAATTCAAAAATAATGATAATTGTGGATGGCATGGTGGCCCCGAGGTTGTGTATTTATTCCCGCACAGAAAAGTCTCATGTTGTGAAAGTCGAAGAAATATTCCCTCAGTACTACGCACCTTAAGCTACATGCGTAACCAATAAATTGTCGTCATGTGTAAACTCTGGCCCCACCTCTTAAAGCAAATAAAATTAAAATAAATATTTATTTAAATCGTATTTGCGACCTGGCCCGAGCGAAAACCCGAACCCGCCTGCCTTTTCATTTTCTCCGAACTACTTCGTTTTCTACGCACTATTACGAGTTTAGGGCTTAGTCTTCCTCGGCGAAACCCTCCGGCGAAGCGGATCCTCCGGCGAAACCCTCCGGCGCAAGCGAAGGTCACCATGGCGTCCAGTCGTTCGTTAAAATCACGGTATGCACCTAAATCAGATAATGAAATGAGAGTAACACATCATTAATACAACAATAGCACAACAATACAACATCAATAGCATAACACACTAGTAATATACCAGTAATGCATCAAAAATACAACAATATCACATCAATATCACACAAGTAACACATCATAGATTTGAATCATTAGCACAGAAAAAAACCCTACTCAATAACTACATAAAACCAAATTCGGTGGACTCATAGATATCTCCATGACATAGTTTTGATGCTTTATTCTTATATTATTCGTGTTTTATTCATCTGTTTTTTTCCTGTGGTTTAACTGTGTTACAGGTGTGTTACTCATGTGTTATTTTCATGTTATTCATGTATTATTGATGTTATATGTTTTTGTTTAGGCTGATTGTTAATTAATGACATAGGTTTGATGTGTTATTCTTGTATTATTCGTGTATTATTCATGTATTATTTTCCTGTGTTTTAAATGTGTTACTCATGCGTTATTTTCGTGTTATTCATGTATTATTGATGTGTTTAGGGTGATTATTAATTAATGACATAGGTTTGATGTGTTATTCTTGTATTATTCATGTATTACTCTACTGTGTTTTAATTGTGTTACTAGTGTGTTACTCATGTGTTATTTTCGTGTTATTCATGTATTATTGATGTGTTTATGGTGATTATTAATTAAGTGTGCTTCATGTGCTACTTCTGTATTACTGGTGCGTAATTAGTTATGCTTTTGTATTATCCATGCTTCTGTGTAGGGTTATTATTGTGTTATGCCGGTGTGTTACTCATGTATTATTCCCGTTTTTTTCATGTACTTTTGCAGCGCTTCTGTTAACGGTGATTGTTAATTTAGAGTAACACATCAATTTTCTGTGTTATTCTTGTGATTGTTATTCTAATAATGTGTTATTATTTCTTTAATTTGCAGGATCATGAGTGCAAGGAATTTCAACTGTAGATGTCGTCCATCTGCAGTGAGAGGTGCCTTGGATGCAATTCGAGATCTGCTTTCAGAGGAGACCATTAATAATTTAAAGGAAATTAAGGTCTTCAATTTCTTTGACATGTCCCTATATCCTCAGGACAATGTCATGACTTTACATATTCTGAGATGTTGGGATAATGAGAGGAGTGTCTTCAAAATGGGTGGAAAGGATGTTAAGTTACATGCTGATTACGTGGCTTTGTTGATAGGGACCGAACAGAAGAGAGTGTTTCATGGAAAAAAGGACCCCTATCAAATGTGGATGTCACACAAATAAAGAACCAGCTAACAAACTTTTTTGCAGAAAGAGCTTCCACCCCACCTTTTGAGCAGTTATACTTGAAATTCATACTAACTAATTTATTTTTTTCCTTCAAGCAATTTTCATGTGCCTGCAGAGCTAGCTTCTTTTGCTGTAAATGTACAAGTTTTTCCGTCATTTAATTATTCTGCTGTCATATGTGATATGATCATCGATCAAGTGAGAATCGCCTCCATTAAATTAAGGCAGAATAAGTTGATTGGCTATATTCAAGGATTTGTATTTCTTTTAACGGTAATTATTTGTTCTTTACATTGAAACATTACTCTTCTGATTTTTTTTTGTATTAACTTTTGCATGCATGTTGATGGTGTCAAACATCCTCAGCTTTGGTTTTACGAGCACACCTCTCTTTTAACTCGTGCTGCACATGACGCTAGACCTCGCAATCTGAGGTGGTCAACCAATCATGAGTTGAGTGCTGAGAAGATTCATGAAGCTTTTAAGAGATTTGATCACGTAAATCATTTAATTTTTATTACAGTTTATTGGCACATCTGTTTAATAGCTTTTTAAGAATGCTTGCAACGATTTTGACGAATATATTTTTATTGTAGGTTAATGACGGATTCTTAGATTTGAGGGAAGATGAAGTACAACTGCTTGAAAATCCAGAGCAGGGACCACCGATTCTTGCAAGTCAACTTCCACAACACGAAACTACTGCAAAACCATCTTCACCCAAATCGTATGCCAAGGATACAATTATTTCTAGTGATATAACCCCAGTACCTGGACATACGACGGAGAGGGTTGATTTCGGGGTACTATATGAGATGTTAAAATCTCAGGAACAAATAAACTTAAATATACAAGATACTGTGACTGGTATGAGTACACAGATGAATACTCTGGTAAAAGCATTGTCCGCCCTGACAGGTCTGATGCATAGATTATTTGAAACCAAGCCTGACAATGTCGTTAAGAAAACAATATCCGATACAAGTAAGAAGACCAGCAACAGTGCACATCAGCAAAAGAGGAAAGTGGACCCCCTGAATCTCAATACCAGTTCAAGAGAAGACGTAGAAAAAACGATGATGTGGATATTGTTGCTCCTGTAAATATAGATGTTCCCAAAAAAACAATAAGACATGCACAAGACACAGATCTTGCAAAGAATATTGTGCATCCAGTTGATCCTGTAAATACAGATGTTCTCGGACAGGCCCAAGTCGTCGCCGAACCAATAAGAGAAGCACAATATGCAGATTTGGGTGATGAGACAATTCATGAAGACCCTTAAGAAGTAGAACGAGTAATAAAGGGTGTTCTTGAATCTCTGGCCCATTCGGTTAGTACGTCATTCTAATTTGTACTATATGATATACATTTCTACTTTATTTTTTCTAACAATATTTTTTTTAGACGCGTCTTTTAACTTCTGCTGTAAATACTGATTCAAAAAAGAGTGATTCCCAAAAGGTTCAAGTATCAGATGAAATTGTACATACTGAATTCAAATTAGATGAAGAAAGCTTAGATCCACCTGAGTATCAATAAATTTCGAGTCAAAGCCACAGTTCTAATGCCGACGAATATGCTATAGTTATAAGAAAAAAAAATATAGCTAAGTGCTTTGAAGCATATCTTATATATTCTTATTTTGTGTTATCCATAAAATGTTTTATTTTGCAGCTACATCCTCCGGCTTCAACTATTGAGTATCCTGGTAGGTCATTGATACAAACTGAAATGTAGGAAGAAATAGACCAGTGTCTATCCAAATACACTGGAAGGTAAGTAAATGTCCAACACTCTTTTAATGTTTCGCAGTTTTGTTGTATTTAATTAAAAGAAACTCTCTTTCTTATCAATGTAGCGACGTTATCATTAACAGAGACCATATTTTGATTTATCAATCGGCACTCGAAGACATAATATTAAATAAATGGCTTGCAGACGAACATGTTGATATATTTGTTGTCATGCTGCGCGAAAGAACTTTAAGGAGACCAGAGTTGTACTGGTCTTACCTGTATGTTTCACCAATGTATGGGGTATGTTCAACAAGTTATATTTATTCATACAAGTTTAAATCATATACTCCCTACACATTTAAAGTAATATTTTTATGTATATGCATACGACATATGGTAGCAAACCCTATGTGAAGCATATCACGAACGAGGCCATAAAAGATGTAAAAGTCATTTTCTTTCCAATCATTCATAATCAGCATTGGATCTTGTTGGTTCTCGATCTCAAGTTGAGAAAATGGCGAATATACAACTCACTACCTAACCAGATACATAAGACTGACGCTACGGAAGTTGTAAGTATATTCAACCCAATTAAAAGTAACACAATAGCATTTGAAGAATAACACAATAACGCTTCAACCATGCAGGTGAATATATTTGCTAGAGATGTCGCTGATTTATTTACAGCCAAAATCAATAAATGGTTTATATCGATTACAAAGTATGTACACACACAAAGGAATAGTGTTGACTGCGGTATATTCGTCTGCAAGTACATGAAAACTTTAGTGTAGGTCGAAGAAGTCGACTGGAGTGCACATATGAATTGGCAGGATCATATGGAGCGATTTAGAGCAAAATTTGTTTATGGCATTTGCATACATTCGAGGACTTCTGAGTAAATTTGTATATTTTTACTTTGCATATTTTGTATAGGTTACTGTATATGTAATAACTTCATGGTTACTGTATATCGAATATTTGTATATGTTACTGGCAAAATGTTTATATCTTGGTGAATGTTGGTATTTTTAGGTTACTGTATATCGAATATTTGTAGAGGTTACTGTTTATATCTTGGCAAAATGTTTATAGGTTACTGTTAGTATTTTTTGTATAACACTTGAGTAACATGCTGATCAACTATCTTAGTAACATGTCATTTACATGTCGTTTACACGCTAAATAACACGAGAGTAACACGTAGATAACACGTAAGTAACACGAGAGTAACATATTTGTGTGTGTACATACTTTGTAGATAACACGTAAGTAACACGAGAGTAACACGAGAGTAACACGTAAATAACACGAGTGTAACACGTAGATAACACCTTGAGTAACACTAAGATAACATGTAAGCAACACTGGAGTAACGCATATGTTACACCCTGAGTAACACGAGAGTAACATGTAAATAACATGAGTGTAACACGTAGATAACACCCTGAGTAACATGAGAGTATTACTAAGATAACACGTAAGTAACACGAGAGTAACACATATTTTACACCCTGAGTAACACGAGAGTAACATGTAAATAACACCAGTGTAAAACGTATATAACACCCTGAGTAACACGAGAGTAACACGTAGATAACACGTAAGTAACACGAGAGTAACACATATGTTACACCTTGAGTAACACAAGATTGAGTAACACAAGAATTTGAGTAACACAAGAATAACATATAAATAACACGAGTGTAACACGTAGATAACACCCTGAGTCAATAAATATAATAATATTACCTATCCTATTGAATTTATCATCTAAAATTTACCTCAAATAGTTTAAAAATTTATCGCAAAAATTTGATCGTCTGAATAACACGAGGAAATTTGGAGTAACACAGATTAATTGGTGGTAACACGGTGTAGTAACACGTCAGAATACGCCTGGTAACACAGAGTAACTCCGATTAATCAACCGGTAACACGGGGAATATTCGCTGCGAGACAGCGCATTAAGAGGGCAGTAACACAAGTTATTTTCGTGTTATCCTCGTGTTATTTTCGTGCTATTCACGTTTTATTCACATGTTATTTCTCATGTTATTCCCACGTGTTATCCTCGTGTTATTCTCGTGTTATCCTCGTGTTATTCCCGTGTTATTGACGTGTCTCGTGTTATTGACGTGTTATTCTCATGTTATTCCTCATATTATTCTCATGTTATTCCCGTATTATTCTCGTGTTCTTCCCGTGTTATTGACATGTTATTGACGTGTTATTCCTCACGTTATTCTCACGTTATTCCCGTGTTATTCCCGTGTTATTCTCGTGTTTTTCCCGTGTTATTGAAGTGTTATTCCCGTGTTATTCTCGTGTTCTTCCCGTGTTATTCTCGTATTATCTTCGTGTTATTCATGTGTTATTCACGTGTTCTTCTCATGTTATTTCCATGTTTTTCCGATGTTATTCTCATTTTATTCACGTGTTACTCCCATGTTATGTACGTGTTGCTCAAGGTGTTATTGAACGTGTTACTCCCGTTTTATCTACGTGTTACTCACGTGTTATAAAGCGTGCAACGGCTTGTTATTCAGTTTGTTACTGATTGTGTTATTCAACGTGTTACCCGCGTGTTATTAACGTGTTATCTACGTGTTATACAGTTGATATATACGTTTGAACAAGTGTAAGACAAAAATATTTGAACAAAAACATGTTATAAACCACCAATTACTTCTTTCGTAAAAAGTTTACAGATGATACAGTATACCAACTTTTACAATATCAATCAATCTATATTCTCACTTATGGAATCCATCAAAAGTTCAGTGTGCGTTTCACTTAATTGCGGTGCATAGTATTCCTGCAGCAGGAGAGTAATACCAAGTTTAATTGAGTGAACTATTTTATATAAAAGGCAGTGAAATGATACTGAATTTTATCAACATACCTGGGTAAGGCAATCTGTCAAAATTTGCTCGAATGCGTCCACGACTCGACGGCAACTTGCTGCTTCCTGTTTCATTCCTGGATGCAATGGGTCAAATTAGAAGTATGTATTATACATGGAATGGAATGAGGAAATATTAAATTAAAAAATTTATACTTTTAGCTTTCTTATTTTTCTCTCAATATCCTTTTAGCCTAGATGTAGATACTCCTTTCGGCCTTTTTTTAGCAGGGTCGTTCACATTGCATTTTATATTTGTGATTTTCTGCTTCTTTTTTGGTTTTTGTACTTCGATCGTTCTCCCTGTTAGAGTATCCTCAATATCTTCAGATAACTTTTTAAACGTCTCCCACAAACACTCTTCAACTAACTTATTTTCTTGTGCTCTATTAATGAGTTGATATGCAAATTTCTGAGAGCATGAACTGAATATAAGGGAACTTGAATAAACATTATTAAAGTCTGGGTCTTTTAGCTCTCTGCACCCAAATCTGTTATACATGTCCCTTTTAGCATTGAAGGACCACCGCAATAAGAAATATTTCTTCGGAATCACCTTTATTTTTGCAAAACTTAGAACAAATAAAGCATGGGAGCACAATAGCCCCATCATCTCAATTTTTTTGCAACTACATGTAACCTCACAAGTAACATTGTCAACTAACACATTCCAGGGTTGTCTTGTCCCCTCATCATCCAATCTTGATATGTAATATTTAGCCTCACTCTTCACTGATACTTCAGATGTAAGCCCACATAAGTCATTTAATAGCTCTTGTTCAAACATTGAGTAAAGATTCCTTGTATAAAATGAGGCAGCTTGACTCAGCATGGGATAGATTTTAAACATGGGCGTTCTGACGGACTGAACGCATTTGAAATCTTCATTTTTCTTATTACGGCGCTATGATTTCATTATGTTTTCAAAACCGATAAAACAATTCATGAGAGAGCTAGTTGGCTTTGAAACACCATAACAAACATTATTGGTCGACTCACTTCTCTGTGTTGATAAGATTCTCATACTGAATATATCCTTATTAAATGTTGTTGACAATTTATGTCTTATACAATACATTTCATCTAACCAAACATTGTTTTGTAATTCTCCCAACTCAATCATTAAGGACCACGTTTCTTCGAACTCCTCCTCAGAATCACACTTGCTCAAGCATTTATAAAAAATGTCACAGACACTCTTAGCACGCACTCCACAGTGTACTTTAGAAGGCAGTTTCTTGTAGATATGTCATTGACATAATCTATGACGTGTTCGTGGGAGGCATTCGGCAATGGCTCTTGTCATTGCTTGATCCTGATCGGTAAAGATTGTTATGGGATGTTTGTCTCTCATTATTCGAATGAATGATTTGAATAACCACATGAATGATTCAATAGTCTCATCAGAAAAAAATACAACTCCAAACAGTACGTTCTGTCAATGGTGGTTAACCCCCACAAATAGAGCGCAACATAAGTTATATTTATTTAATTTGTAGCTTGTTTGTAGTTTAATTTGTAGCTTGTATCAAATATTATGATATCTCCGAAACAGTCATAATCCAGTCTGCACAATCCATCACTCCAAAATATGTTTGTTAACTTACAAGACTCATCTGTTTGGAAATCTCAAGCAAACATGTTATCCCCAGCTTGCCTCTCCATGAATAATTGTATTAAAGCATTGACATCTCCCTGTTCAATTCTTTTTCTTCTTTCTCTTTGAATGAAATTAAATGCATCTCTCTTAGTGCATTCCAAATTCTCCACATCACCAACCTCCGTGGCAGTGAAATTATATGCATGTGTTTCTCTGATCCCTGAACCTGTCATTGATCTCAACACATCTGCATTCAACTCACTTATCCTTCTGCTGGAACAAAGAAGATGCTTATCACCACTTTCAGCCAAAAGGATGATTGTGATTTTCAATGAATTTCGTCACTGTCCAATTGCCTTCGAGATCAACAAAAAATCGAACTATGGTCTTACAACCAGTCCTCATGTCTGCTTTTTTGAACTTAACTGTGACCATGCTGTTAAGCTCTTTATTGTAGCCAGCTTTTCCATAAATATAATCTTTTGATCCTTGAGTTTCTTGGAGTTCGGCCAGTAGGTAGTATGGTCCTTCCGAACAGTGAATCTCACGTGATGTGCATAGGCACGATAGCTTTCATATGCTTCTTCCTCATTGTGGATAATGCTGCTTAGAAACTTCTCTGCAATTGAATCATTGCAAACGTGTGTTGCCTCGGAGGACTGCATAAAACAATGGTAACGTCAGCATAACACAATAATAACACAATATGCGTAATAAATCAAAGGCAGGAGTAATATCAAAGTAACACCAAAAAACCAGAAGCCTAAAACCATAATAACGCAAAAAAAATTATAATAATATCAAACCACACTGTAGAACAGCACCAAATAACACTACATCAACACCAACGTTTACATGGAGATTAAACTAAACCCTATACCACCTAAACAGTACTAAATCAAAGGCAAGAAATAATATTAATATCAGAGTAACACTAGAATAACACAGCAGTAACACGAAGACTCACTTGATCTTGATCTTCAAAGTTCAGACTAAATGATGGCATCTCAACGTTCATGGAGACTTCCGGCATCTCAACGTTCATGAAGAATTCGACTTCCGGCAACTCAACGTCCATGGAGAATTCCAACAATATCTAGCTATGGCGGAGCTGTGAACGGAGCTGTGAACAAACCAGTGAAATATTTCTTCACCCTGTGAATATAACAGCTTGTAGGCGCAAAATAATTTTATGCTGGCGGGAAATTTTTCAGGATTCGGGTTTAGGGTCTGGCCGGGTCGCGAATAGTGATGGAATAGGTGGGGCCGAAGTTTACAACTAGCGGCAATATATTGGATACGCACGTAGCTTAACATGTGTAGTACTAATGGAATAATTCTTCGTGAAAGTCAGTGACCAGAGCTAGCAAGTGCAGGAATTGAAGGAACATGCGCTGTGCCGTTGTGCAAAGGAAATAAGATCTGGACAAACAATGAGAGAAGGTGGTCCATGTCTTTACCCCGGCCTCCCCTTTGCCGCATTCGGTTTATCCAAATCCGGGAGATCCCCCAAACCAGCCAGAATTAGAAAATCCAAAATTTAAAGCAAAACGGAAAAGAAACAAGATTTAAGATCATGGAGGATTTAGGTTAACCCCTACTACGAAACATCACCTTATCAATTTGTAGGATATAAAATTAATCGTTTAAGAGGATTTCCGCAAAATCCTGCCAAAATCCTAGTAAATCCTGCTACGAAACATCCCCTAAAACCCGATCAATTAGAGCAGAAATCGCGACGACCAGAGGCAAACCCACCAAAAAAAAAAAGTAGAGCGCAGAAGAAATAGAAATTAGTAGAGCGCAGAAGAAATAGAAATTTACTTAGTAGATAGAGAAAGAAAACATGCCTAACATGGAAGGTGAAAGGCGAGAGGACACCATCGACATCTCTCGCCGCCCACCCAAAGGCTTTTTGCTCTCTCCCCGGCGAATGGGCTGACAACTCCATCAAAATATCTCTCGTTCTCCGCCAAAATGCTCTCTCTCTCCGACTTACAGAACTGTACCAGCACTAGTTAAACTAACCAATGCAGCATCGCTGTGACATTTATTAGAAAAACGGTCACTGGTCGTACATCTTCATCAATAAAAATGGCTTTTAATGAAACAGTACGCTGAAATCTCTAAATTTAGAGATCTCATAAATATTTAATATTACTAACGTCTTTGGCTGTTTTTGAGTGACGAGAGAGTACGTTGAACTTGCTGAGAGCGAGTTTGTGTCACAAATTAAATGATGGGGGTCACGTGTTTAGGGGGATTCATCCTAATATATTGGAATTGATGGGAGTTAAAATTTGTGAGACTCACTTGATACGTGGCCCTCACTATTGAACCACAAATCCATGCCTAATATTTTTTCGAGAGACGCCATCGAGACTAGAAGGAATGGTGGCGACGGCAATTTAAGGGAAATAGAAAGTAGGATTTTTTGTGTGATGTGGTGCAAATGCAGCCACGTGTGTTACATTTGGCCCATCTCATAAACACCACCTTCAATAAGTTTCACTATTCCACTTCAATAATCCCGCAGAACAACTTCAATAAGTCACCAATAATACCTCAATAATCTTTCAATAATTGTGCGGCGTTATTTTAGGTTATTGGGGAGTTATTGCGAAGTTATTGAAGTGTATATTAGATTTTTTTTTTTTTTGCGATGGTTATTGAAGTGGAACCACAAAAATTATTGGAGTGGTTCATCGTATCTATAAGGTGAGTCTAGTATAACACACGTAGCGGCATATTACTAGAATTCGCATGCATAGCTTTGTGGGCACTCTGTATGGAAAAAATTTTCAAGAAAAAAAAAAACTTAGTAATTTTTGTTGGCATTAATTTCAACAGGATCATTTTGACAATTTTATATATACTATTAATTTACAGTTTAATTAATATATTTATTATTTATTCTATCAATTACTGAGAATAAGAAATAAGTTTGAAATCTATAAATAACAAACAAACGGCGACGGTCGTTAGAGGGAGTTCAAATTTTGTAATATTAAATTTCTGAGTGTTAGATCTGTAAATTAGAAGATTTTGTATGTCATGTACGTAAAATCCCCTAATAAAAAATACTAATTTTAAATTAATGAAATATTGGAATTAAATATGTCAATAGATGAATCATAAATGATCTGTCCAGATGCATCTACGAATAATTTATATTTTATTAATGAATTTTAGAAATTTAAATGATGTGAACATTTGAAATTAGATATATAGTACAAATATTAAAATAATTTATATTTATTATTTTTAATTGATATAATTTATAAATAGATGATTAAGATATAAAACAATTAAATGAACCTGGTTTTTTTTATATAGGTTAAAAAATAATTTATATTTATTATTTTGATAAATTCCAAAATCAATAGATGTCGGAGACCTTTAAGCAATAAACGGCACCTGGTTTTTCCGTGCAGCAAGGTGCTTTTTGATGGTAATAAAGAGGAATTAAAATATCATAAGAAATAAATCTTATAGATATATTAATTTATAACATTTGGATTCTATGCAGAGGCCTCCTCAGTGGGATATATTAAAACAATTGATACGGTCAATAATCTTTTTTTATTTTTTTTCATTCGGGGGTGAATGTTCATATGTATTTAAATTCAAATTAAAAATTATTTAAAATTTTGATTTTAGCGAATTGATAGTTAAACTTATTGGTTCGACGAGACAAACACAATGACACTAAAATTAGTTTAATCTGAGCCAAATCAAGTCTTAACCAAATCATTAAATCAAATTTAGAAATTTTGATTGGCTTATTGGAAGTCATATGGATTTCAAATATGACTAGATTACAGTCAAATCAAGTGTCTCAATGAGACAGATTCAATAAACCCAATATCACTTAATTTTGATATAATTGAGACACTAATTTATTCATAATATCTCATCCAACTATTGGAATATCTCTAGATTTTTCGATAGAATAGTTTATATTCTTTCTTTAATTATGGTAGATGTCATCGCTATAGTCTATAAATAGCGTCTCATTACCCTCGTAAGGGAGGGAGGTGCTAATCATGAAGAAAAGGACAACCTACGATAAGAGCTTAAGTTGGGCCAAGAAAAGGAGTTGAATTTTGATGTTGTTTTGGACCGAAGACCTGACAAATGTTTTTTGCTCCTGCAAGCCACAACCATTGACCATCACCTGTCGATCATCGCTTGTTGGTCAACAATGCCCCCCACAGCTCTTTGCAATAAAGCCTCTCGTGGACTCATGATGTGTTATGTGGATTAATGAAGAATTGTGCTGAGTAACGACTAACGTCACATTGTAACAAAACACTTTACGAAGTTGTGCATCATCATAAATATTGTGTAATGATGCACCCAAATATGGTGCAAGGATGCGCCCCAAATATGGTGCAATGGCGCTCCACGAATATGGTGTAACAACACACCCAAAAAGACGGTATAGTGAAGCCTCTAGAGACGGTGTAATGACGCTCCTCGACTACAGTGCAATGATCCACCCGACATGTGATGTAACAGCGTACCCCGCGCACGATGTAATGACACACTCGAAGGCGTGATCATGAATAATGTTGTATCAAGGATCCGACGATAACTCTCTGTAATGAATACTTGCAACTATCATACTCAAAACATGGCGACTTTCTATAGATTCATGGAGTCTCTCCTCGAAACCTATGTGAACAACTATGACTTACGTGACTCATAGCTCATGCGAATCCCAACTTCGACCTCTATGATCTGTGAAAACTATTACAACTCCCAATTATAGCCTCTGTGGCATACAGATGTTATTGCGGCTCTCATCAACGACCTATGTAACTAATTATGACATACTCGACTCACAACTCATGTGGCTCCTAACTCCTGTCTTAGTTGCCTACGAATGTCATAGTGTCTTGCTATTATGTCCTACATGACCAATTAAAACCTTTGCGATCAACAACTCATGCAAACCCCAACTTCGGCCTCCATGGTCTACGATATTATCATAGCTCACTACTATTGTCTATGTGACCAACTACAACCTGTGTGGTCCATAGCTCACGCAACTCTCAATTATGACCTCTATGGCTTACGGACGTTGTCGCGATTCATTAGTACAACCTACAAGACAAGTTGCAGCCTACATGTTTTGTCGCTTACAAAACTCCCAATCCAATCTCTGTGGCCTACGAATGTTATTGCATCTCCAAACTCCTACTTATGTGGTCTACCGGTGTTATTGCAGTTCATCACTACATACTACATGACCAACTACGGCATTTGTGTTTTGTAGTTCATGCAACTCCCAACTCTAACGTTTATGCTCTACAGACGTCGTCGTAACTCACTACTATGGCCTATGTGGTTCATAGCTCACGTAGTTCCCAACTCCGACATCAATGACCTATGAATATTAGTGCACTCATTGATACAACCTATGCAACCAACTGCAGCTTATGTTGTTCGTAGCATACACAACTCCCAACTTCGGCTTTATGTGGCTTATGATGTTATCGCATCTCCAAACTATGACCTTTTATGGCCTACAAACATTATCATAACTCATCATTATGACCTATATGACCAACTATAGCCTACATGGTCCACAACTCATGCAGCTCTCAATTTTGGAATGTGGCATGTGGACGTTATTGCAGCTCGTAAATGTGTTCTACATGACACTATGATTTAGATGACTCACAGCTCATGAAACTACCAATTATAGCCTTTATGGTCGATGGACATTATTACGGCTCACTACTACGATGTAGAAGACCAATTACAACCTACATGATCCACAACTTATGCAACTTTTAACTTCAACCCCATGTGACCTACAGACATTATTGCAACTCACTAATACGACATATGTGGTCAATTATGACCCGCGTGACTCGCATCTCTTGCAGCTTCCTACTCCGACATTTTTGAATTATAGAAGTTATTGCAGCCGCTATTATGACCCACACAACCAAGTAAGGCTAAAGTGACATATAGCTCGCTCAGCTCTCAACTACCGCCTCTATGGCCAACAGACGTTATTGCGGCTCACCACTATGACCTACGTGAGCAACTACGACCTACATGACTTAGAGCTCAAGCATCTTCTAACTCCGGACTCCGCAGTCTACAAAAATTACTGTAGCTCACCATCATGACCTACATGAATAACTACGAACTACGTGACTCATGGCTCATGTAGCTCTCAACTTCATCCTCTGTGATATATGAATGTTATTGCAACTTCTTATTAAGGCTAACATGGACAATTATTATCATTCTGGTGTTCTTTTACAAACATTGTGGCCAAATAATGCTTCTAAAGCCACCACCTATTGAATATGCGTCCAACTTCTACAATGACTTTCAACTAATGCCTCTACAATAAGCTAGAACTATAACAAACTTCTACAATATTTGTGTGAACTGCTGCCTTCATAACAGGCAACTACAGTCTTTGTGCCTCGTTATGGCTATTATTACTAAAATATTATTATACATTAACTTTGCAATTTCATCTTCATTAATTTGAGAGAAGAGTTGGTCAATGTACTCATAAATTCATATTGGATAACTTTGAATGGCTCAGACCCTGTATTTTTTTCTTTTTTCAAGATTTTCTTATGTAAAAATTATAGTGTCTCCTCCAGTAACTTCTCTTTTATGTAAGTGTATGTTTGATGTTGTAGTTTGTTGAGATGTCATTTCTTTACTCTACCATCATAGATCTTTTAGCACTCATCAGTTTGACGTCGTTTATGACAAATGAAGGTGCACTCAACCTTCGACACTGTCGGCACTATTTTTGGTGTGGGGTTTGCCCGTAAGAAGCTGTCGGTCATCGGAATTGAAATCCCGTTGCCTGCTTCGGAAGGACGTTTTTTAAAAAATTTAGTTTTGAAAAAGATGAAGTCAAACTGACCCCATAATTTTCATGGTTTAGATGAAAGAGCGTTTTATCTCAAATCATGTATCTATCCCGAAGGATGAACGCAAGAATTGAGAGTGAGGCTCGATCAAATAAACTAAAGAAAGTTATGACATTCGTTTGGTCTGCGAAACCAATGTATTGGCCGACAAGTTCCCCTATTTAATATAAGGAATTAAATAAGGTTTAT